ACATTTTTGGGGTTTAAGGGCACCCTGGAGGAAGAGGTGGACAGAAGGATGGAGAATGGCAGTCCTGGTGTTGAGGGGAGGAGGAAGGGCAGCAGCGAACCCCAACCGAGAAGCATAGAGCCCCGGTCCCCAGAGAGCCCCAACCTAGCCTAACCCCCAACCCATGTTAAGTGCTTAAAGAAGAAGAAAACCAGGTGGAGGAGGGAGGGGGACTGAAGACTGACAGGCGTAGGGCCAGCTCTGGGAAGGGGTAAATACCTTGGGGTTGATATTCCCTGTTCTTAAAAACACACTTTAACGAAAAATGTTTTTTGGTGGAAGAGGCCAAGCACCCCAGTGTCTGTCTCCCCCAGCGTCCATGGTGGAGGCACACCCCTGGGATCCCAATGCTCCCACATATCCTGTGCCACCCCAGCCCTGGGACCCTGGCTTGGGTGGCTTCGTTCCAAGGTTGATTTACAGTATTGAAAAAGAGGTCATAAAAGAGACCCAAATGACACAGTAATTTTGTAAAAATTTCTCACTCATTCACCCACATTTCTCCCTGTCACTTCCCCAACCCCCTCCAGCCCCCAGAAGGGAGAGGAGGGCTGAGGGGGTGGTCAGGGAAGCTCCCCATCCCCTAAAGGCTCCTCCCGGCTCTGGTCCATGGCATCACTGTCCGAGGCCTCCGAGTCCGAGGCAGTGTCTGAAGTGTGCACCTCCGGGCAGCTGCGTACAGGCTTCACGATGACTGCTCGCCGCTGCTCCTCCTCTAGCTCCTGCTTGTCCTGGGTGCCCTCGATGTGCTGGATTGCCTGGGCAGGAATAGGCAACCGGAGGTTTAGCCAAAGGCTCCCAGCCAACTCTCCACAAAACACATACCTCAGGACTGTCCCAAAGTAAGCCTGGCGAGGCAGGGGGTGCTGCCAGAGTCCAGGGGAAATAAACATTAGAAAATTGCTCTGCTGAGCTGGGTGTGGTAGCACACACCTGTAATCCCAGCACTTTGGAAGGCTGAGGCAAAAAGAAAGGAAGACTGAAAATTCAAACCCAAGCTGAGCAATCTGAAGACTTAGACCCTGTCTCAAAATTTTTTTTAATATTTTTTTTAAAAAGCACTTCCCTGGCAAGGGCAAGGGTCTGAGTTTAATCCTTGGTTCCGCCAAAAAAAAAAGGTCTGAGGGATGAGTTAGAAAGACAGCTCGGCAGTCTTAAACACCTGCCTGGCAAGTGCAAGAACCCAGGTTCAATCCCTGGCACATGCTGTGCTAACTCCAGAACCCAGAGGCGCACGGTGCCAGCCACAGAAACTGGGGTGTGATGGCAGATGCCTATAATCCCAGCACAGCGAGATCACTACAAGTCCAGCTGCGTAGCAAGATCCTGTACCAAATAAATAAATAAATAAATAAATAAATAAATAAATAAATAATTTTTAAAAATAAAAAAAAAAAATAAAGGTCTGAAGGGATAAAAAATGGTCTGGGAGGGCCAGGTAGATGGCTCAGTGGAATAAGCGCTTCCCTGGCAAGCGCAAGGGCCTGAGTTCGATACCCAGTTCCACCAAAAAAAATATAAATAAATAAAATAAAATAAAATAAAAGGTCTGGGGATGCAGCCCAGCCCTGGATTCAATCCCCAGTAACACGTAAAAAAGCCAGGTATGATGCCACATGCCTGTAATGCCAGCACTTGGGAGGCTGAAGCAGGAAGACTGATGTGAGTTTGAAGCTAGCCTGGGGTACAAAGTGAGTTTAAGTCCAGCCTGAACTTCACAGTGAAACCTTCACAGTGAAATCTTTGTCTTTTTGTCTCATAAAGACAAAAAAAAGTTTTAAAGGCACCCTGTTGACAAACGCCTTTCAAGAAGGGTCTCAGTGCTGCCAAGAAATGACAAGCATCTCCCACACATTTAGGTATTTTAAAGTCTTCCTATTAATTCTTGTTGTTGTTCTTCTTCAAGACAGGGTCTCGCTATGCAGTTTAGGCTACTTTGAGTTCACTTTGTAGCGCAGGCTGGTCTTGAACTCACAACGATCCTCCTGCCTCAGACTCCTGAGTGCTGGGATTACAGATGTGCATTGCCATGCCCCACTCTTCCTATTAATTTATTTAAGATTTTTGGGGCCAGGGAGATGGCTCAGTAGAATAAGCGCTTGCCTGTCAAGCCCAAGAGCCTGAGTTCAAGCCCTGGTTCCGCAAAAAAAAAAAAAAGATTTTTGTTATTAATTGTATTATTCATCTTCCTGGTTTTATATGTAACTGAAGTTCTGAGCACTGAATTTTTCCCCTTTTGGCTTCTTTGGTTTATATTATTATTTACCAATTAATCTTTTTAATTTACTCCCAACATTCACAGGAGATATAAGCAGGCCCACCCAGCCACTGATACTTTACCCCATTCTCTTTTTTTGTTTTTTGTGGCTGGCTCAGCCCACCCAGGGGGCGGGGCTGGCACAGCATGTGGTGCCAGGGATCAAACTGTGGGCCCTGCGCACTTGCCTAAACTTGCCTAAGCAGGCGCTTGAGACCACTAAACTATCTCACCAGCCCCTACCCCATCCTTAGTTACAGGAAATGGAGGTGAGAGAAAGTTTTGCCCTGAATGAAGAGCTGACCACAGGAACTCTAACCAGGGGGCTCTGGCTCCAAAGGAGCCTGCCAGCAAGCCTCTCACTGAAGAAGGAATGTGGCTCATCTCTAAGCTCTGTTGCCCAGCTGTCCATCCCTGCAGATGCAGGGAGGGAGAGACGCCTCCACCCTGGGCATCCAGCCCACTCCTCCAACTCAAGAGCCATCTTCTCTTCTGTCCCTTATTGTCTGATCTGCCATAAAGAGTCTGTTTGAAGAAGTTCACCCCCACAAGCTGCGCTTCCCCAAGCCCAGATACCTGCACAATAGTGTCCAGATTTTGCCGAGATGTAGAAACAGAGTTGATGACAGAGGGACCCATGGTGACAACGTTGATGTGGTGGGAGGGAGGCGGTGGTGGTGGTGGCGCCGGAACAATCACCGTGGGATGGTGGGTAGGCGCTGGAGGGGGCAGGAGCTGTAAGACAGAAGCCCTCAGTCTTTCTGCCTGTGGTTCTTCTGGCCCATCAACCTCCATCAGCATAAAGGGCCACTACAGTTTGGCTTTAGGTTTCCCTAGTGGTCAATCTGTAGTGGCAGTCACAGCATGACATCACTGGGAATGGTGGAATCTTTAAGAGGTCAGCCAGGGGCTGGCAAGACAGCTCAGCAGACTAAAGCACCTGCTTAGGCAAGCACAGGGACAGTGGTCAGATCCCCAGCACCACATGCCACACCAGCCTGCCCACAGGGCAGGCTGAGCCGGGTGTAGTGTTGTATGCCTATAATCCCAGTGTACACCTGTAATCCCAGCACTGGGGAGGCTGAAAACAGGAAAATCACTATGAGTCTGAGCTGCATAGTAAGATCCTGTAACAACCAAATACATTTGAAAAAAAGAGGTGCCAGTGGAAGCCCTTTAGGGGTAGATACTCTCAGAGAAATAGAACCCACAACCACTTTTTCTTCTTTTTGCTCTTTAGCTTCCTGGCCATGAGGTGAGCTATTTCACTGTCACCTGCTCTTCCCATGATGTGCTGTTTTGGGACAGGCTCAAAACAATGAATGAGGCCAACTGATCACAGAACAAAATCTCCAAAACCATGAGCCAAAATAACTCCTTTCTCTGGGAAAAAAAAAAAAACTCCTTTTTCTTTATGAGCAGATTATCTCAGCAGGGTATGGTAGTGCACATGTGTAGTTCCAGCACTCTGGGAGACTGAGCCAAGAAGATTACGTTTGAGTACAAACTGGGCAATGTAGTTACTTAGATGCGCCCCCAATAAAACGACCAGGAATAACTAACAAATACACAGGGGGCCAGCCAGCTTACCACCCCACCCCTACCCCAACACTGTACTAAGAAGTGAAGGACTGGCAGCTTATGGAAGTGCTTCTGGCCACCCCAAATCCCAGGGCCCCCTCAACTCTCAGTGCCACGCAGCAGTTCAACATCTACTACAGTATTAGTTAAGAGTGTAGATGAGAGCCAGGCATGGTAGTGCACACATGTAATCCCAGCACTTGAGAGACTAAGGTAAGACTGCCATGAGTTTGAGGCCAGCCTCGGCTACACAGTGAGTACAAGGCCACCCTGAACTATATAGCAAGACCTTGACTCAAAAAAAATAAAAAAACGGTATAGACAGTAAGCCTGGCACTGTTGCATACATCCGTACTCCCAGTTATTCTGGAAACAAATGTTCATGGGTGCCAGGGAGATGGCTCAGTGGAACAAATGTTCATGGTTTTTGCCTTTGTTTTTTGGGTCTCAGGAATTGAACTCAAGACTTTGTGCTTGCTAAGCACGTGCTTATGCTACTGAGCTATATCCCTAGCGCCTCTCAGCTATTCTGGAGACTGAAGCTGGAAGACTGCAAGTCTCAGCCCAGCCTGGGCAACTTAGCCAGCCCCCATAAGCTGTGGAACTGGAGGTGTAAGTCACTGGAAGAGTGTCTGCTGGGCAGGCACAAGGTCCCAGGTTTAATAATGGGGGGAGGGGGACCGTGGATTTAGATAGCCAGGATTCAAATCCCTGTCCTAGTCGTTTGGGACCCTGTGTGTGTTATTCAGCCCTTCTGTGCCTCTATTTCCTCATCCGTCAAACAGGAGTTTAACAGCTCAGGTTTTAAAGGGCTGCTTGGAGGACTCCATGAACTCACGGACACAGATGCCTGGAGCCATAAACAGCTCCTTGAAAACAGTGGGGCACCTCTGCACCCTGAGAGCCCAGGGGCAGCTTGAGCCTTCCTAGGCCTCCTGCTCACCTGGGTCCGCAGGTGCTGCTGTTCCCGCTCAAGCTTCTCCTGGTGCAGCAGCCGCACTTGTTCCTGCTGCTGCTGCAGCTGCACCTGCTGCGCAATCACCTTGAGCTTTTCCGGGTACATGTGGGCCTCCAGGGACCGCACCTATGGGTAGAGCAGCTCGGTGCTCAGGGGCAGGGCCAGAGCACACCTGCTCCACCAGCCTCATAGCAGGCCACCCACCAAAACCTCCAACCCCAGGACATAGCAGTGTTCCCAAAACCTAAGAACCTAGCATGAGCAACCCCCTGGTGCAGAGACTAAGTTCTTTACTAGAACTCTCTGGGCTTCCCTCCCACCTCCAGGTCTCTGTCTATGCTCTTCTCTGAATGAAACACCCTTTTCCCTTCTTTGCCTGGTTAACTGATTTCCAACTGGAAGTCATGGGGTACCCATAGGGGATCAGGGCACACCTACAGCCACATGAATTTTATCTCATTTGCTCTGTGTGGTGTATGTACGTGTATGTGTGTTGGGAATTGAATCCAAAGCCTTACATGCTAAGCACACACTCTGCCACTGGCCTGTACCTGAGGTCCTCAGTTGCATTTTTATACCTGAGAGCCTTTGACTAATTCCCTTATCGCCCAGGCATTCAGTAACACTCAAGAACAACTAGATCTTCACTCCCACACTTGGCATAGAGCAGGGGCTTCTGTAAATACCTGCTAACTGGAAAGCACACATGCAGAAGAGACCACAGAAGCACCCCCTGCCTGTGGCACGCTGCACCATCCCAGAGGGGCACCCCACCTGCTCCTCCAGCATCATGCGCACAGAGCGCTCCTTGTCCAGCTGCTGTCGCAGCTCAATCATCTCCCGCCGCAGGTCCTCAGCCTTCTCATCCTCCCAGATATCCGGTGAGCCAATTCCCTCATCCTTGTCCTCTGCCCGCCGCCGCTTTGGAGAAGAACCACTCAGCTCCTGGGGACCGCAAAAGATAGATGAGCATGTGAAGTGAACCCCCCGTACCACCACTACCACCATGGAGGTCAAGCGGCTCCATCTCAGCCCCCCAAAGCTACCCGACAGAGGTGGACCTTGACTGGGGAGCTCATTTTCTAGATCCAACAAAGTGCCTCAGTGCCAGGAGGAAAATTAGAAAGGACTGGTTTTCCAAGGCAGTTGCATAGTTCCTTCCCTTTCATGAAAAGGGAAATGGAGGCCCAACCAGGAAGGCAAGTTTGTTAAGTAGGCTGGTCAGCATACAAGATGGGACTGCCAGTCACCTGTGTCCCAGATCAGTGGCTTGGTCCAGGCATGCCATGCTGGGGACAGGGAGTGAGAAGAAGGACAGGACACTGAGGTGATGCCTCCTACAATACCTGGATAAAGCGCTTGAGCTGCGTGTTCTGCTGCAGAAGCCTGGTCTTCTCCTGCTCCAGGGAGAAAATGTACTCTGCTGTCTGTTGGAGAATGGCTGCCTGGAGGCAAGAGGTCAGGGTCAGGCCGGTGGCAGCTACCAAGATTCTCTTCTACCACAGCCAGCCACCTCCTCCAGGAAGCTCCCACCCCTGCCCACCTTGCTGAGCTTCTCTCCATCTGTGTGGGGAATGAGGGTCTTGAGGGACTGGAAGCCCGCGTTGATGCTCTGCATACGCCTCCGCTCGTTGCTGTTGGCGATCTCCCGCCGAATCCGCCGCTCCTGGTCCCGCTGTGTCTCAGGGGTCAGTGGGATGTTGGCAAGGCTGCAAGGGCAGACGGAAACTTAAGACTAGATGCACTCTGAGCCTTGCCCCAATAGGTTCATCTTTTTTTGTTTTTTTACTTTTTTGAGTGAGGCCTTGAACTCACTAAGTAACCCAGGCTGGCCTCGAACTTGTAGCAGTCCTCATGCTTCAGTCTCCCAAGTATTGGGCTTAAGGCCCATCTTCATAATTCATCTCAAGACCCCCAGGTGTAAACCTGTATCCCTCCCTGCTGCAAAGAATACCAGGTCAGCCTAATGCCAGCAATTCAGGCAGATCACCCCTGAAGCTGATGAAGGGGCACTAATACCCAGGCAGACTGAACTAAATGGCTACTGGCAAGGGTATACTGCTCAGAATGACTTCCTTACCAAAGGCAGGAATCTCCTCTAGAATAAGGTTCCCAGCCAGGTCTGCATACCAAAAACACTCAAGGAGTTGTACAGTAAGCAGGAGTCTGGTGCCAGCCCAGCATCTGACTAAGGAAATCTAGGAAAGCTCAGCAGCCTGGGTGGCTAATCTCTCTTATCTGATGCAGGTAGTTCTTGAGTGATAGTCAAGAGGCACCTGGGTCTTGGGACACTTCTGAGCTCCTTGCTGACTTGGACCACCTCCAGCATCTCAGGCTTTGCCACCCAGGACTGAGGAGTCATCACCACAGCCAAGCCTCCAGCCAGAGCCCTAGCTCCTACCTCTGCCCCCCTGGACTATGATTTCACAGAAGACAAGACAGATACCACTCATTCCACAGAGAGGACAATAGGCCAACAACCCCGGGGAACAGGACCCACAAAGTCCAGCCACTTTAAGAGGCAGACCAGCTCTGTGCCAGGAAGTGAGGCCCCTGGCATGCTGTGGGCAATGGGATTGCACAGTGCGGGTGCAGCGGCAATGGAGTAAAAGATGAAGCAGCCAGGGAAGGGGGCGAGGCCAGATGCAAAGCCTGCAGGCCCAACACCACTGCTCCCGAGGGGTGGGCCTGTGTGTGGCCTGGAGGAGTGGGGCTCCCCTTCTCAGCCCTCCCCTGCAACTTCTCCCGCCCCTGGCCTGATGGCTTCCAGATGCTGAGCTCCCAGCAAAGGCGCCAGCCCCACCCAAAGCCACAGCCCTGGCCTCTTCCTGAGGGGCCCTCCCCGGGTGACCTGTTCCAGGCCTGAGCCAAGAAAGCTTAGGCCCTGAGTCTGGGGAAATTGGAACAGGCCTTGGGGCGCTCTCATCCCATTGATGGGGATCCAGGATGGAGGAGGTACCAGCACCTTGACTCCTTTGCTTTGACTTGACCCTATCCCTATCCTCAGGGAAAGAGCTGAACAACAGCCCAGGACGGGAACACATCTCCAACAGCTGGAAACGGCCCTGGTTTGACCTGCCCCACCCAGCCTGCCCCATCTATCCATCTATCCATCCATCCATCTGTCCATCCATCTGTCCGTCCGTCCGTCCATCCATCCATCCATCCATCCAACCATCCATCCTACTTCAGCTCCCTGTGGGACCCCAGATACTGCCTTGCCCCTTCCTAGGCCTCAGCTTTCTATTTCAACAGAGAGGGTGGCCAGCTGGGATTGAACACCACATCAGCCACTCCAGGAGGTCTGCAGGCAAATCAGCGCAGCTCCACATGCCATCTCCTTACCCCCCCCCCCGCCCACTCTCTCTCCCTCAACCCACTTCATCAAGCCAAGACCCCTCTTCCCAGCTTTGAGTCCAGAAGGCTCAGAGGCTCAACCAACCCAGGGCCTCCCTGACTTCTCCACCAGGGTACAAGACCCTCACAGGGCTGGGAACGTCAGTGCTGGGAAGAAAGCCCAGGTCCCCCTCACATACTTTACAGATGAGGTGGCCCTTTATTTAGGGCTCAGAGTAGGGACAGAATGGGTTTGGAGTCAGATAGCTAGATATCCAACTCTCCTCTTCAGGCCAGATACCTCTCTTCTCTCCATTTCCCTGCCCCCACACTACATATGATAATGTCAAAAAGAGGAAAGGGCCAAGTTAGGCAGAAGCTGCCACTGTCTACCCTCAGACCACACCTTCTCAGAGTGGCCAATTGGGCAACAGGAACAGGGACTGTTCTGCAGTAGGTGGCCTACCAACAGGGCAACAGGGATCTTTGGAGACAAAAAGAGCTAAGATTTGCAGATAGTTTGCTGGGCATACACCTTAATTCCAGCACAGGAAGATCAACGTGAGTTCAAGGCCAGCCTGAACTACACAGTGAGACCCTGTTTCAAAAAAGAGAGAAAAACAAAGAGAGGTACCATAGGAAGCCATCTGGTGAATACAACCTGTTTGGAAGCAACCCCTACACCCTATCCTTATCTCTCCTGGTGATGCCCAAGGACTGAGCTGACCCCAGAGCTGGGGCCCAATAAAAGAGTCCTGGGCCCACTGGGCTATCCTGAGAGACAACCCATCTGGAAAGCCTAGCAATAAAGAAGTAAGTTGTCGTTTGTTTTTTATAGTCTTGAAAACAATGAGATGGCTCAGTGGAATAAGTGCTTCCCTGGCAAGCACAAGAGCCTGAGTTCAATCCCCAGTTCCACAAAAAAAAGAAAGAAAGAAAGAAAGAAAGAAAGAAAGAAAGAAAGAAAGAAAGAGAAAACAAGTGTGGCAATACACACCTGTCTCAGCACTCTGGCAGAGACAGGAAGATCACAGGTCTGAGGACATTCTAGCCAATCTAGACAGCCCCATTTCAAAATAAAAAACAAAAAGGGCTGGGGAAGTAATGTGTGCAAAGAGCTTGCCTAGCATGAGAAAGACCTTGGGTTTAAGTCCTAGTACACATGCATGTACACACGCACACACACGCATCTTGAATTCTTTGTAGGATGTGCTAAAGACTCACTATGTTAAGATTTTTTCACTTAATTTTATCAAAATCTTCCTTTGAGTAAGATGGCCTGATGATTCCCATATAAAGAGCATACAAAGATTCAGGAAGGGACCAGTTATAGCAAGCAATAAAGTTGGGACCCAGAACAAATGTCAGGGGACAGGAGGGTAAAGTGGGCTTTATAGGGTCCCACAGATTGACCGGTGACAGGTATCCCTGAATCGGACCAGGCAAAGCTATTGTTGACAGCTGCATGCTAGCACTGTGTTAACTCTTCTTCCTAGTCACAGACTTCTTATACATCCCCCCAGTCCCCACAAAAGCCCAAAGGAATGGCTGCAGCAATGTGACTCATGATATACACACCATCAAGCACCACATAGGACACTGCCAACTGCCGCAGACAACCACCGTCTGTTGGTACTGAGAGCTCAGAACAGAAGGGGCTGCTCAACCAACGGATGTGGCTGCTAGAACAGAGCCTCAGTGCTGAGCCCCTCTAAACTACAGTGACAGAAAAGGGCCACAAGTGATGTGATGTGATGTACCCAATATCACACCTGCTGACCTGCTACACCAGGGTGCAGCTGGATGCACCCTCCTGCTGCTCCCAGCCCAAGTTCCAATTCATCAGTCATCAATTCATCAATTCATCAGTCTCCAGGGAGCTGACCCTCAACCTCTCCCTTTCCCACTAACTGGGAAGCCCCAAGAACACAGAGCTCCAGGCTCCAAATCGCCACCCCCAAAATTCCTAGAAGAGGACCAGGCAGGCAGAGGAGCCTATGTCAGCTCCTCTGTACCTCAAAGCCAAGAACATGGCTCATCCAGATGTTCCATCCTGCCGCTTCCTCTCCAAACCCATCAACCTAGCTGCCTCCTTCCAGAACCAGCTGCCGCTTAACTTAGTAGTTAACTTAGACTTAACTAAGAAGAGATTCACCCCCAAAGCTACAGCTCCTCATAGGGACTTGAATTTGTCATCAAGACTTACTATCTGGGCCAGGGGAGATAGCTTGGCAGTCTAAGCACCTGCCTGGCAAGTGGAAGGACCCGGGTTCAAGCCCTGGTACCACATGTCATGCTGGCCACACACCAAGCCAGCCACAGAAACCAGGTGTGGTGGTGCACATGTATAATCCCAACACTGGGGAAGCTGAGTCAAGAGGATCACTATGAGTCTTAGCTGTACAGTGAGACCCTGTGCCAAATAAATAAATTAATTTAAAAAAAAAAACTTACTCTCTGAACAGTCCTGGAAATAGGCACTGCTAAAGAGGTGTCCTGTTTTGTTTTGTTTTTTTTAACAGACTATATGCTAACCCAAGGTTCTGACTGGTGGAGTTTGAGCTAACCAAGAATTATGACAGGTAGGCCAACTACTGCTGACCAACCCCAGGTTCCTATTCACGAAGAGTAAGAGTTAAAGGACATTTCCAAGTGACACTGCAGTGAACAAAGAGGATTTTTCTGCAAAGGCCTGAAAATTCCTTATAATTTTCCAGGTTTTACAGAAGTAAACGGTCACTGCATGGTAAAAGTCACATTACCACCTCCCTGGTAACTTTAGACTCACCCAGGTGAGCAGCAACTCTGATTTCTACATCCCACTGCCCTGACAGACAGGGGCAGGTGGGGGGTTGGGGGCCTGCCATCCTTTCCCCAATATGCCCCCCAAATCTAGGAAGAAAAACAGCACCCCAACCAAACACTCCAGGGCATCTGACACACTCTTTGCATCCAGTCCCTAAGGGATAATTGCCCAGCCCCAGGCCAAGCATCTCCCATCTTCCTCCACCCTCCTGCCCAGCTGCAGCCTCCAACAGGCCCCTAAGAAGTCTCACTGCACACTCCCTGAGCTCTCATGGAGCACCACACTGTCAAACTGGGGCAAATCCACCTGACATTTCTCCCTTACTTGAAAAGGGAGACAATCTTTCCACTCCAGGCATCAAGGAACTCACCATTCTCGCTGTCTCCACCCAGACATACATCCCTCCTCTCCAGCCTCCTGTGATCAGCCACCACCACCCTCCACTTGGTTCCAGAACACACCAAGCCATACTGGTCCCCTCAAGAGACATCGGCCCTCCTTCCACCTACCCCATGCCTCCTGCAGCCCAAAGGGACGCTGCCTTGAGTACAAATGCCAAACTTTCCGCTTGCTAGGTGGGAAACTCCAAGTTGAGCCAGTCAACAGCCTCAACTTCCCCCACATGTAAAAAATTTAGAAATACTACCTTACCTCTCAGGTTCATGGCAAAGTTTAAAGAGCACTGAGGGAAAAATAATAATAATAATACAAGAAGACAACAGGGCCAGATGTGTGGTACATACCTGTAATCCCAGCATTCAAGAGGCTAAACAGGAGGATCGCTGAGTTCAAGGCAGCCTGGGCTACAAAGTGAGTCCAAGACCAGCCTGAACAGCATAACGAAACCCTGTCTTAAAAAGTTTTTTTTAAAAAAAGGATGCCCATTGTGTGGCGCCAGCCCCATCCCCCTGGAGCACGATGAGACTGCGATTGAGACTGGGCGTGGTGGCGCCCGTCTGTAATCACAGCACTTGGAAGGCTGAAAACAGAAGAATCACTATGAGTCTGATCTATGTAGTGAGGTCCTATACACCCTGTGGACCCTGTCCTAAATTCATTTAAAAAAAAGGAGGATCACTAGAGTCCAATCTGTGTAGTGAGAACATGTAGACCCCGTACTAAACATATTTTTTTTAATTAAAGTTGAAAGACAAAAAAAAGACAAGAGGATGATGTCCTGTTTTTGTACCCAACTATCCAGCACAACCCACGGTTCTCACGGGACTGACAGAATCCTCTGATACCAAGAGCTGGTAAGCCGCTAAGGTCAGGGATCATCAGGTTTTGTTACCTGCTAAATCTTCAGTCTTGTCATCAAGCTAGTGCTTCATAAATGGATTCAAAGACCAACCAAACACATAAAATCTCCTAACACACCATCTTTTTAAAATTCTGAGTTGGACCAAGGAGATGCCCAGTGGCCCAAGTACCTGCCTGGCAAGTGCAAGGTCCTGAGTTCGTCCCAGGACCACAAAAACAAAAAATAAATAAAATTCTGAAACAGTCTCCCCACGATGAATGTAATCAGTATGTAACGCACACGGGTACTAATAAAACTTTTTAAAAGGCAGGCTTTTAAAAATCAAATTGGGGCCAGTGAGATAGCTCAGCCATCTAAAGCACCTGCTTAGGCAAGCTTAGACAGGCGCAGGGGACCTGGGTTTGATTCCCAGCATCACATGCCATACCAGCCCCACCATCAGTGGGCTGAACTGGCCAAAATAAATTTTAAAAATAATGAGAAGATAGAATTGATAGGGTCTAGCCAAGTTGCTCAGTCTAGCATTGAACTTGTGACCCTCCTACCTCAGTCTCCCATGTAGCTGGGGTTACAATATGTAACTTCAGTGCCGGGGAGATGGCTCAGTGGCATAAGCACTTCCCTGGCAAGCACAAGGGCCTAAGTTCAATCCCCGGTTCCGCCAAAAAACAAACAAACAAAACTTTTTTCTTTTTAATTTTTTTTAATTATTTATTTATTTATGTGTGTGTGTGTTTGTTTTAGTGTGTGGCCAGCTCAGCCCACCAGGGGGCGGGGCTGGCTGGCATGTGGTGCTGGGGGATTGAACCGCGGTCCCTGCTTAGCTTAAGCTTGTTCTAAGTAGGTGCTTTAGACCACTGAGCCATCTCTCCAGCCCAAAACTTTTTAAAAAGTGGAAAAAAAAAAAAAAGTAACTTCAGGCAGCTCTCTTAAGGGAATTTTCTTTACAGAATTTACAGGGATAGAAATGACCATGCCCCCTGGTTTTTAAGAGTCTGAAGGTTAAAGTAACAGCTTCCAGGTACTTCCATACCACTCTCCACGGACATTACATTTTACCAAAGCAGAGAACCTTTAGGCATCAAGTACTGGGCACTGCCCTTCCAGCCCCTCTAGCTGGCTGGTGAGACAGATGAGAAGGGCAGGGGAGCTCTACTCCTCAAAGAGGGATGAAGGAAAATCCATAGCCTGAGAACCTAGAGAAACCAAGTCCACTCAACCAAAGTCCTGCCCGGTGCACACACTCTTTTCTGGACAGGCCTCCCAGCTCACCCTGCAACCCAGCTGAAAATAGGGTAAGAGGCCCTGTCTTGGACACAAGGCAGGCTGAGGACTTGTGCACCTGGGGGCAGGTTCTGCCACCTCAAGCACTGGGACTGCCACAGCCCAATGTCTTTGTGCTAGCCTCCTCCAAAGAGGGGACTGATGTCTTGGGTTTGCTTGGTTTTGGTTTCTCTGAGACGGGGTCTCACTATATACCCCAGCCTAGCCTCAAACTCACAATCCTCCTGCCTCAACTTCCTGAGCTGGGATTACAGGTGTGTGCCAGAGTCCTAGGATGACCTGATTCCTCAACCAAAGTCCAGTTACAGGAGCTGGAGGGGCCACTGCCCCAAACCTGTGCATGGTCAGAGCTAAGAACGTCCTCTCCCATGTGTGGAGTTCAGCCTCTCCTGCACACTGCCCAGCCTTGCTAGGAGCAGCTATAGCCCTGCTGAAAAGCAGGGCTCTAGGGTCAGGTTTCCAGTTCCATCTCTACCTCTTGCTCCACCAGGTGGTCCCTTCCCCAGCCTGTGTCTTCATTTTTATAAGAGAATCAGAAAACAACTTGATTCATAGCACAGCAAGTACATAACAATTCAATGAGAAAACAATAGCAAAGGAAATGCCCAGAACATATAACGACTTTTTTTTAAGTTAGTAAAAAAAAATTTTTTTAAGTTAGTAACCGCTGGGCCAGGTGTGAGGGCACACGCCTGCAATCCCAGCACTCAGAAGACTGAGCCAGGAGGATTTCTGTGAGTTCAAGGCCAGCCTAAACTACATAGTGAGATCCTGTCTCAAAAAACAGAACAAAAAGTAATTACTGCTGGGCCCTCCAGCTGAGCTTTGTCTCAATGTCAACCCTCAGGGTGGTCCTGCTGCCTGTGAGATCTTTCAGCTGGCACACCTATCCCTAGGTATTGACTGTGAACTTGGCAATAAAGGTGAGAGCCATAGAGCCGGGTGTATACCTGTATAGCCACTTTTCCCCTGCATCTGGTGTTCACCAGCGTCGTCGGCCACACCGTGCTGGGGCTCCTCCTCCCCCAATCCCCGCCCTGCCAGCCCTGGGCTGCTGAGCACGTGGCTCAGCCCTGGGGAGCCATTTCGCTCCTGGAGCAGCACTGCAGGAAAGAGGCCCGCAGGTCCTAAACTTGTGCACACTGGCAAAACCTCCACCCCCTGGCGCCCACCTCAGCCAGTCGAGTCGGGTTCAATGGGGAGATGCCTGTGCCGAGCCTTAGCAAACGTAGTTCCAGGCATGTTCATTTTAACGTATCCGGAGCGATAGGGCTCCTCGAGGCCCGCAAATCCATCACCCTTGATAAAGGATGACTTTTGTTCGACCTCGGTCCAAGTTTACACAAAGCGGCTCCTGGAGAACGAATGCAGACCTCGGGATATCCACCCGGACCGGCGACCAGACGCTTTCGGCTTACGGCTAAGAGAAGGGGCGTGGAATGGGAAAGTTTGCAGAGGGAGACCCAAGTGCAGCGGGGAGCGGCCAGGCTGGGTTAGGGGCGGTCTCAGGAGCCCTCTCCTCGAAACGCCTTCCCCCTGGCCTGCCTAGCCCACCCAGCCCGCGGAGGCCGAGCTTTGTCAGGAAAAGCGTGGTTCCCGAGTGCCTACAAGTCCCACAATGCTGTAGCCGCCAGCCGCCCAGAACTACAGCTCCCGCGAGGCGGCGCGCGCGGAGGTCCGCCTACTCCAAAAGGGCTGCACAGTCACGTCCAGGCCTAGCTAGTAAACAGCGCCCGGGCGCGGGCGGGCGACCCAGCGAGCCAGCCAGCCAGCGGCGGCCAGCGTGCCCGGAGCCACAGCATCCCTGCCTTCCGCACTGCCCCCCGGGGCCCGCCCACCCGCGCAGTCCAGCGCTCGCGAGCCCCCCGACCCTGCTGCAGCCGCGCTCTCTACGAACACGCACACCACCCGGCTCCCCGCCCCACACCCACACCCGGAGCCGCGGCGGCAGGGCTGCATTGTACCTGCCCTCGCCGCGGCTCCAAGCACGCCATGGACCCCCCCAGACCCATTTGAAGGGGGGCATCCGGAGAGCGTGAGGAAGCAGGGAGAGGAAGGAAGCCGCCGCGGGAGGAGGGAGGAGGAAGCGCGGGGGGGAAAGCCACCAGCATCAAGCATGGCCGGGACTGCTGCAGAACCACGTGGGTCTGTTTGCAATTTACAAACGTCGCGACTCGCCCGCCTGCAGCGGACAAAAGTAGCCAGGGCCGCACGGGGTCCCTACGTTCCAAGGGAGGAGGGTCCCCAAGAGGCGCAAGCCGGGCGCGCGGGCTGCAGCCACCCCAGCAGCTAAGAAAGGCGAGCGGGGTCGGCGGCGCGGGCCATGCGTGCGCACACGCGCGCCAGCCCCGGGCGGGCTGGCCGGGGGCTGCAACGGTAGGAAGGGGTTAGGGGGAGGAGGAGTACACACCTACAGAGCCCTCCTATCACTTCTTTCTCTGTTTTCCTGAAATGTTGCAAAGAGGGCACCTTCTGAGTGGGCACCATGAAATACTCCATAGCGATCGGCCCCCCTCCTCTGCACGAGCCAGGTCCCGCGGTCCGCCGGAGAATGCAAGATGGAAATCCGAATCAAAGGGCAGCGCCGGACGGAGGTGCAGAATCGGCCGGTCCCAGATGCTGGCGGCGGCGGCGGCGGCGGCGGCGAGGGGAGGGAGGCGGGCAGGAGGGGCGGGAGGGAGGTCTCTCCGGCCTGCCTCCCCGGGCGTGTGTATGTGTGTGTGTGTTTGCAGCTGATCAGATGTCTGTTTCAAGGCGGGAAACAGCTGGTGAAAACTCAGCACTCCCCCGGCCTCCTTCCGCGGAGTAAGGAATTGCATGTAAACAAAGGACTATTTGCTGCGTCCCTCCAGCGGCGCGAGGCCGGGGCGAGCGGGGGGCAGGCCCCCGGCGACTGGCTGCAACTGGGATCTGCAGGCCTCCCCGGGCGTACGGGGGCCCACAGCAGCTCCCCAGCTGCGGGGGCGCGGCGTGAATGGAGAGATCTGCGACCCAGCTACATGCGCCACTATGGGTGATGAGGTCCATCAGCTGACAGGTTGGCAAGCATTGCAGAAAAAAAAAAAAAAAAAAAAAAAAGCCAGCCACCACGAGGGAACTCAGCCTGTGCGGCCCAGGGTCTCTGGCAGGCACTGTCCGTGCAGGGTCAGCCCACAACGCGACCCTGGGGGGCGCACGGCTGGGTTCAGTTTACCGCGGTAGCCGGAAGGTGGCCCTGGGTGCTTGCTTGGTTTTTGCTTTTTCACGATGCAACTGCATGAAGTGTAGTCTCGGGCGCGCTCCCTCAGAGCAGACCCAGGGCCCCCTGGAAACTTGCGTCACGGCCACCGCTTCCCACATTTAACTTGGGGCTGTCTCCAAGGGCCTGCCAACCTCCTTCCGTCCCTGCCCAGTTAGACACTCGACCGGGACTCTGGAGCCTGGGAATTCCGAATCCCATGAGATGACGGCAAAGGGGGACGCAACGGACTCCTCAGACATGGGGGGCTTTGGGGAGAGAGTTACAAAAGAGGGGTGGGGCAGAAAGGGTAGAGGCGGGTCTGAACTGCAGCGCCCGCCTCCCGCGCGGAAGTTTTCCAGCTCGGCGGGAGGCCCGGGGATTGCTACCAAATCCCCTTCCCCCCCCTTCCCCAACTTTCCCTCTCAGCGCGCAGAAGGCTGCAGCTTCTCATTCATGGCAAAGTCCTGGTGGAACTTACTCTTCCGCCAGGGGGCGCGCTGTGCAAAGGGGTGATAGCCTGGGACCATGAAGAGAGGTCACTAGTGCAGAGCTTCCGCCCTGCACTCCCCGATCCCCCTAAAACCAACACCACGGCCCACTTTCCGGCCCCAGGCCCTCCCCTGCCTCCTGGGGGGTTGGCTGCCCCTGCTCAGGAAGCTCACACCCATCTTGGAATGTCCTCCCCCCTGCCTACCCTCCTCCAGGTCCCTTCCAAATCGCGCCTCCTAGTTGAAATATAGTAGTCCTACTAATAACAATTATTAGGGAACGTTGTTATTAGATAGAACCAGCAGCATATAGGTGCCAGATAGTTTTGCATTCATATTTCCCACTCCTCAACACAATTTATTAAGCATTTTCTGTAATTACAGATCCCAAAATATTTAGATCCCAAATTTTTAAATATAACATCCTTAGGGCCGGCCAAATAGCTCAGCCAATTAAAGCATCTGCTTAGGCAGACACGGGCTGAGGGTTCTATCCCCCGACTGTCGTGCTGGGCCCCGCCCCCTGGGCGCACTGAGCAGTCATTGGGACTGGGCTGGTGATGCGCACCTGTAATCCCAGCGCTTGGGAGGCTGAAAACAGAAGAAGCACTATGTAGTGAGACTCTGTAGTCCCTGGAGACCCTATACCAAATATTTTTTAAAAGAAATATAGCACCCTTGATCCTCCCCTCAGGGCTACCAAATATAGGATGCTGCTTAGGAAATTCATCTTTAGGGGGGAGTTTATCTTAAGTGCCATTACTGATCAAGTTATTCTGATGCATCTCTATTATCCTTGCTCCCACATTCTAGATTTTGGGTTTTGAACCCAGGGTCTTCCAACTGAGTTACATCCCCAGCCCCATATGTGTATGCATGTGTGTGTATGTGTGATTTGACAGACTCTCCCTAATTTTTTTTTTTAAAACAGTCTCACTATGCAGTTCAGGCTGGCCTTGAACTCACTGTGCACCCCAGACTAGCCTCAAACTTGCAGAGATCCTCCTGCCTCAGCCTCCAAGCGCTGAGACTACAGATGTGTGCCATCACACCCATCTCCTTAAGTCTTTTAAATTGCCCAGCCTGGACTCTGAACTTTTTATCCTTCCACCTCAGAGAGCTGGGATCGCAGAAGTGAGCCATCACACTCAGCATAGAATATTTTGAGATAGAAAATTTTAAGCAATGGCAAGAAAAAAATCAACACTCAAGAAAAATCAAGGGGCCGAGGAGATGGCTCAGTGGGAGATGCGCTTCCCTGGCAAGGGCCTAAGTTCAATACCTGATTCCGCCAAAAAAAAGAAAAGAAAAATAATGTCTCCATTAATAGTTTCAAAAGTCAAAATCCAGGCTGAGGGTGAGGCTTAGGGGCCAGGGTAAAGTGCCTGCCTAGCATACACAAAGCACTGAATCTGATGCCCAGTACCAGAAAAAAAAAAAAAAAAGTGTGATGGCAAGGCATGGTGTCTGTCAAATGCCTATGAGGCCAGCGTTCCCAAGGCTGGGTTAGGAAGATTGCCATGAATTTGAGGCCAGCCTGAACTACCTAGCAAGACCCTATCTCAAAACAACAACAAAGGGCTGGAGAGATGGCTCAGTGGTCTAAAGCACCTACTTAAAAAAACAAGCTCGGCAAAGCATCAGGGACCTCGGTTCAATCCCCCAGCACCACATGCCAGCCAGCCCCGCCCCCTGGTGGGCTGATCTGGCCACACACACACACACACACACCTCTCTCTCTCTCTCTCTCTCTCAAATAATAAATTAAAAAAAAAAAAAACTATGATGGACAAAATGCCCCCATATTCAGATATTTGTTTTTTTATTTTTATTTTTATTTGTGTGTGTGTGTGTGTGGCCAGCTCAGCCCACCTGGGGGCGGGCTGGCTGGCATGTGGTGCTGGGGAATTGAACCGCGGTCCCTGTGCCTTGCTAAGCTTGTTCTAAGTAGGTGCTTTAGACCACTGAGCCATCTCACCAGCCCCTATATTCAGATATTTGGCAGGAATCTTATTTATTTTTGTTGTTTCTTTGGTGGAACTGGGGATTACACTCAAAGAGTCTTGTTTTTTGAGATAGGATCTCACTATGTACTTCAAGCTGGCCTTGAACTCACTATGTAGCCCAGGCTGGCCTTAAACTTAAGGTGATCCTCCTTCCTCAGCCTCTCAGAGTTCTTATTTGATTTTTTTTTTCTAAATTGTAAGTACTCCTGGCAAGCACAAGGGCCTGAGTTCAATCCCCAGTTTCACAAAAACAAATAAATAAATAGATTTTAAGTACTGCATTAAAAGTCCCCCCCACACTTTTTTTTTGGGGGGAAGGCCTGTAGGGTGTTCAATGTCTCACTACTAGATCAGACTTGTAGTGATCCACCTGTTTACAGCCTCCCAAGAGCTGGGATTACAGGCACACACACCACCACACCCAGTCTCAATTGCTGTCTCAGCGCACTCTGGGGACGAGCCCAGCACAACAGGCCTGGGAATGAAACCCCCAGCCCCTGCGCCTGCTAACAGGTGCGTTAATCCGCTGAGCTATTTGGCTGGCCCATCCCCTTCTATCTTGACAGTCTTGTTATGTTGTTGTTGTTGTTGTTGTTGTTGTTGTTGTTGTTGTTATTGTTGTTGTTGTTTTTAATGTATTTAGTATAGGGTCTTACTACACAGATTGGACTCGTAGCTCACTCCAGGGGTGGGGCCGGCACAGCATGCCAGGGATCAAATCCCAGCTGCCATGCTTTGCCTAAGCAGGCACTTTAGCAGCTGAGCTATCTGGCTGGCCCTTGTTATGGTTTTTATTTGGGTTTGGATTTGTTCTTTTTTGCGGTACTGGAGATGGAATCAGACTTTATGCATGTTAG